TATCATTGATTTAATTATTATATGAAGTTAATTTAAAATATACAAGAAAAGAAAAAGAATAGTTGAAATTGGAATATGATTAAATGAAATATGATTAAGGCGACCTGAAATGTCTGAAGATAAATACTGGGAATATCCAATATATTGTCTGGAATGTTATAAAAATTAAAATTACAAATTTATATGGAAGTCATTCAGCACCAATATTGTATCAAATAACGCAGATAGAATTATTTAACAATGTACAGATTAAATATATATACTATCGACCATTGCTTAATGTCAACTATTCATTAGTTTCCGTTTATGCAAATGTCACATTGTCATTAAGCACAAATTGAAAGCTCAAACTGAAGTTCACTCTTAAAACAATTGAAGCAACTATGAATAAATGCTAAAAGGCAACAATTGATTGTTAAATTGAAATATTTCAAGTCATTGCATTCATACAATATACAGTGAAGTTCCACCAGTAGCATCTTGTCAATCGGTCGAAGCAATGATTTTATTCTTAAGAATGTAAAATTGGATTCAAATGATGGCTATCAGAATCTCATTCTTCATAATGTCAATTGATTCTACAGATGTTTCTGGGATCATCTGAACTTTCTGAGGGATATCCAAAGCAATAACAACTGCTTCAAATTCAAATAGTTTGTTTTACTACGCGCTACTGTCATACTTTCTTTGGAGTCAATCCGGAAACAGTAAAATGAAAATGCAAGGAGATAAAATATAAGAAATTATGCTAAACTGTTTGAATCTTTGGCCAGTTTGAAATGAAAAGTTTTCATTCGAGCATTTCTGATATTTTAAAAATTTTCTATTTCACATTGTTCGATGGCATACATCATTTGGTTTAACCTTTTGCTTTGCATCATTACACTTCAGAATCGAACTTTCTCTTTACTCATCTAAACACTTCTAATCAAATTCAACAGGACCACTGGGACAATGAACATTTCTCAAATGACTTTAATATCCTTAACCACTGTGATTTGAAGTCAGTGCTTGGCACAGATATGGATATACCGGGAATAACTGATGAAGGATTATATAATTTATGACACTTCATTCAATCCCTTGCAGTTCTCTAATTTTATTCGGCTACGTAAAAATTGGGCAAGTGACTGATGAAGAATCGAAAACTGTCACAACTATCTGTCGTATGAGAATCTTCCAATAAAGGTAACATTAAAAGCAAGTATTTATTTATTTTTTTTGCTTAAAAGTATGCAAAAACAAACAAACAGTTTTTCGTTCTCCAAATTAATCAAAATGTGATAAGTTTATTTTATCTTACTGATAATTTTATGTTCAATTTTCAAATTACATCAATTAACTAACAAATTGTATGGTAGTAAAATGTAATGTAATGAAATATATCTATTGCTTGAGAATGATGCGATTAAAATCTCGTCTATGAGACAATTTATAAAATTCCAAGAGTTGGCTAAATATATTCTGAAGGGAAATTGAAGATTTAAAAAAACAATAAAAAGTTGAATATTCCACAAATTTTTCTAAATTAGTATAATTTAAACCTTAATGTTAAATCAATTGAGTAAACAATAAAAGTAAGTTTTGTGCAAAATTATGGAACTGATGAGATAAATGTCTTAAAGAAGGATATTTCATCTTTGTGATACATTAATAATGCAAGTATATAAGTAAAATGAATGGATTCGCCGATGGATTTTTTTATATACACAAAAATCGAATTACATGCCAGATATTACTGTCTCAGAGATGAAATTATATGACACTGAATCGTCATATGATAATTTTTTAGCTGAAATTTTTTATTAAAAAAGGAAAGTGAATATTCCAAAAAGTGACTTGTTTTTTTTTCAAAATTTCAAATTAACAAAATAATACATCAATCCGAAATATTTGAAAACAAAATTAAATTTTATCAGATTGTAGCTAGTACCTAATGCTGGAAAATTCTATCCAAATAACATTTAATGATTAAAAATACCAATTAATTGCATTTAGCAAAACCAAAAAAAACGGTCCGT